CGTTGGGCCAACGTTGGCAATATGACGTTGGGCCAACGTTGGCAAAATAACGTTGGGCCAACGTTGGCATGGGCTAAACACAGCCGTTGGGCCAACGTTGGCCCAACGTCAGCATGTTATCTGGGTATGTACCCGAGGCATGATATGAAGAGAGTGACTCTCTGTCTCTCGAGTGTGATGTTAAGGCACTGATTGTGCAAGTGTGCATGGATAGCGCACAGGGCAAACTGTTACTACACTCGCTCCACAAGACGGGGGTCAGTGAAAACTGAAGTATGTCCTTCATCACCTTATCACCTTAGGTGTGCTAACTCGATGCTAGGTGGATGTGGGTGGGGTTGGGATAGTTGTGGCAGCTAGCACGTGTGACTGGCACAGTTGCTGGCGTGCTAGCATTGTGTGTGTGTTTGTGTGAATATGAGCTTGTTATGTATCATAGACGTTCGAGTGACAGATCATATTGTTGCTGCTGCTGGGTTTACCTGTTCGTTCGCCTTATATTATAAATAGCTACCTCGCATCAACAACTGTTAGCGCGGGAAATCTTCGCTTGGCATGTATATTTTATTACAGCTTGCAAACCTCTCGTTTGATGTCTCGTATGTGGGGGCTGTGGAGCACACAACCCGTATAAACATATATATGCACATTACTAACTGTGCGATGCACAATATTGTTGTAAAAACATAAAAGTATGCAAAGTATGCGTGTATTTCAAGATCACGCCGTCCCCTGGACGATAATGCGCGAAATCTCGGTGTATAGTAGAATGTATTAGAATGCGCTCCTTATATATATATTAGTATATACGCTAAGATTGCATTGTACGTACTCTGATGATGCCTGGTTTGTCGTGATGTGTTGCGTGATCGCTTCGTGACTGGCTTGTAAAACAGTTGAACGATGAGAAGCTCCATAGTGTATACCTCTGGTCAGGTCTGTGAGACACGGGGATCGAGATCTATAGTATGACACGATCCATCTGGCCAGTTTGATTTGCAGTTAGCTAGCAAAAGGAAGGAGTTAAGGAGGAAAGTTAAGTTAGTACTTAATTAAAGTTAGGAACGAGAGCAGATCTCTGACGACGTGTTCTATTCACTCTATTCTGCAGGCGGTTATATATTCTGCTGCTGGTTCCGCGCGATAGCTGGAAGTGGCGGTAGATCAAAGTTTGACACAGCCCCCCATTATTCCCAGCATAGAGCAAATCAAACTGGATAAACTTTCATGTGGGAGGCTCTCATGTTCAGCTTCGTACAGCATGCTAGCACACGTGTACGAAGGTCTGCGCTGTGTATCACATAGCTCTGTTTGTAACCTAGTATTGGTGCAGAGTATATATTATATATACATATATATATATCTCGGCACGTATTTTTACTAACGTATTTTAATGAGATATATGCGCCGCGTGTTTTTAGAATGGAGGGTTTTTTTGAAATGTCGATACGTCGACGGCGGTGCGCTGGTAGCCGACAGCTCTCCAGCGGCCATGTTGCGCGGGAAAAATATCAATCGTCTGCTTCGATGCTACACGCGAGAAGAGAGAGAGAGAGAGGCGAGGGAGAGAGAGAGAGAGAGGGGGAGAAAGAGAGACGAGAAGAGAGAAAGAGAGAGGAGGAAGAAACAGAGGGAGAGCGAGAGAGAGAGAGAGAGAGAGAGAGAGAGAGAGAGAGAGAGAGAGAGAGA